GGGAGAGGGAAGGAGGAAGGGGGGAAGGGACGGAGGGAGGGAGGAGGGGAGGGAAATGAGAAAAGGAGGTAGGGAGAAGAGGGGGAAGAAGGGAGGAAGGGCGGAAGAGAAAAGAACACGGACTTTCCTACTCAGGCTGGGGGCTTCATTTAAACCTTATTCCCTCAGATCTCAGGTTCCTGAGTAGACAGGATTACAAGTGTGAGCCACTGGTGTCCTGGTAGTGTTTTACTTCCTAAAGTATGTGTATACTGTATACATTTTAAGATAATTTAAAAAAACACTAAAAAGAAATGTAGGGCCAAGCACCAGTGGCCCATGCCTAAAATCCTAGCTACTCAGGAAGACAAGATCTGAGAATTGCAGTCTGAAGCCAGCTTAGGAAGGAAACTGCACGAGACTATCTCCAACTAACCACCCAAGAAAGCCTAAGTGGAGCTATGGCTCAAATAGTAGAGTACTAGCCTTGAAGCTAAGGCTAAAAAGCTCAGGGACAGAGCCCAGCCCTGAGTTCAAGTTCCAGGTCCAGCACGAGCGACTGTCAAGGTATAGCTAAAATGTGACAGGCTGCTGCCTATATGTGAGCGCGCGCGCGCGCGCGCGCGCACACACACACACACACACACACACACACACAGAGCTAAAATGTGACAGGCTGCTGCCTATATATGAGCTTCCTTTCCCAGGTCATCTAGTGCCTCTTCTGACCTACTTGATCAATCAATAAAGGCAAAATTGTTCCCATTCCATGGTACCTTTAGGAAAAGAGCATTGTCTCTTATTTAGGTCTCTCACACAAATCCAAGGACTCACTCTAGGGCATTTTTTAACTAGGTAAACTCACTACAGTGTCTACATCAAAACAAGTTTGGGGTTTGGAGGCATGGCTCAGGTGGTTACAGCACCAGCCAAGGAGTGAAAGCATCAGATACCAAGCTCAATCCAGATCTCAGAGGGTGGGTGGGGAGAAAGAAAGAAATCAAGTTTGCAAATAGTTTTCCTTATCTTTCTTCTAAACAAAGTGAGATGGCATCAAGAAGCAAACAATGCTTTACCTGCATGTCACTTCTGGCAGCTTTCACAGCATCAAAGAGATCATTGGCTAATGGCTGTGCTGCCTCTTTCTGGCCATTACAACATTCCGTCTGGAACCCCTTCTTTCGATGTTTTGGCATCTATTAAGTATAAAAAGATCAGGCATGAAATAAAAGTGATGTTGACACTTAACTTCATCATTATTTTATCAGTGGGCTTAAGCTTCTCATTGCACAGCACTTTACTGATTTTTAAAAATATTTTTTAAAAAAACACCAATTTTAGCTGGGCACAGATGGCTCACATCTGTAATCCAAGTTAATCAGGAGACTGAGATCTGATTATTGTGGTTCAAAGCTAGCCTAGGCAGGAAAGTCCAGGAGATTTTGATCTCAAATTAACTACCAAAAAAACATTTTTAAAGCCAGAAGTGGAGCTGTGGCTCAGATGATAAAAGTCCTAGCAAAATAAAAGCTCAGGGACAGCTGAGTTCAAGCCTCAGGACCAGAAGAAAAAAAAAAAGCAAAAACTAGAAAAATAAATAACCAGGCACCAGTGGCTCACACCTGTAATCTAGCTCTCAGGAGGCTGATTTGAGGATTGAGGTTCAAAGCTAGCCCTTAAAAAAGTCTGTAAGACTCTTATCTCCAATTAACCAGCAAAAAAAAAACAAAAAACAAAAAAACAACTAGAAGTGGAAGTATGGCTCAAGTGGTAAACTGTTAACCTTGACCAAAAATGTAAAAGGACAGCATCCAGGCCCTGAGTTCAAGCCCTAGTACCAACAATAAGTAGGAAAAATAATCTAGTACTGTCTTTAGTCACAGATGACATGACTATGTATAGAGGGAATCCTAATAACAATGACAACCATAAGTGAATATAACAAGATTACAGGATCTGAGCTGAGCCCTGGCGGCTAACATCTGTAATCCTAGCTACTCAGAAGGCAGAGATCTGAGGATCAAGGTTTGAAACCAACCTGGGCAGAAAGTCTGTGAGACAATCTCCAATTAATCACCAGAAAACCAGAAACCAGAAGTGACACTGTGGCTCGAAGTGGTAGAGCACTACCTTTGAGTAGAAAAAGCTCAGGGACAGCATCCAGGTCTTTGAGTTCAAGCCCCATGACCAAAAAAATAAAAAAAATAACCAGGCACTGGTGGCTCACACCTGTAATCCTAGCTACTCAGGAGGCTGAGATCTGAGGAATACAGTTCCAAGACAGTGTGGGCAGGAAAATCTGTGATACTCTGTCTCCAATTAACCCCCAGAAACCCGGAAGTGGCACTGTGGCTCAAAGTAGTAGATCACTAACCTTGAGCGATAAAGCTCAGGGACAGCACCCAGTCCCATAGTTCAAGCCCCACGACCAACCAAAAAAAAAAATGATTACAGGATCAAAAGTCAACATATAAAAATACCTACCTAGCATTAGCCCTGAGCAAAAGAAGCTCAGGGACAGTATCCAAGCCCTGAGTTCAAGCACTGGGACTGGCAAAAAAAAATCTACCTATATTCCAACAACAAAGCTGCAATTGTTTGGTGGTGGTGGTGGTAGTGGTCATAGGGCTTGAACTCAGGACCTGGGTGCTGCCCCTGAGCTTCTTTGCTCAAAGCTAGTGCTCTACCACTTTGAGCCACAGCACCATGACTTGTTTTCTGGTGGTTAATTGGAGAAGAATCTTAAGGACTTTACTGCCCAGGCTGGCTTCAAGTCGATCCTCAGCTCTCTAACTCCTGGGTAGCTAGGATTAAAGGCATGAGCTACCAGTGCCTGGCTAAAACCTGCAAATTTTAAAATGCCATTTAAAAGAACACAGCCACAAAATATGTAGGTATATTTAGCCAAAATATGCAAGACTCCAGTAAAACTATAGAATATGGTTGAGAGAAATGGTGTGTGCATGCCACTAGTGGAATTGAACTTGGTGGGGAGAAAGAGGGTAAGGGCTCCTGAAGCCCCAGCTATGTCATTAAAAATAAAATAATAATAGTAAAACAAGATCTGTTAGTACTAGGTATGATGGCTCCATCCTGTTATTACAGAACTGAGAGGTAGAGATTGGAGCCTTATGGTTCACAGCCAGTCTGGGCATATAAAGTTTGTAAGACTTCATTTCACCCAATAGCTGAGTATAGTGGTATGTTCCTGTTATCCCCAGCATCTTGAGGAAGCCCAGGCTGACCTGGACATAAAGTGATACAAAAATTGGCTAGAAGTATGGTTCAAGTGACAGAGTCTAACTAGCAAGCATAAAGCCCTGAATTCAATCCCCAGTACCACCATTAAAAAGTAAATCTGTGTGTCTCATTTCTGTATCTCCATATTCTAATCTCTTCCTCTTTTCTCAAAAAGAAATTGCCTTCTTCCTACTCTTGTACCTTGTGCTTTTTTTGTTTTCGTATTTAGGTTCCAGGCTTAAAATTGAGGGCCTTGTGCTTGCTAGATGGATACTCTACTATTAGAACACTTTCCCAACTCTCTTGGCTTTAGTTTGTTTTCTCCTTCCCCCACCTCCTTTTCTTTGTCAGTACTGGGGATTAAACTCAAGGCTTCATACATTCTTTAGTTATTTTTCAAATAAGGTCTCATGTTGTTGCCTACACTGTGATCCTATTGATGCCTCCTGTGTAGCTAGAATAGCAAGAACGAATGACCACAGCACCATCATCATGATGGGGTCTCTATGGGCATGTGAGATGTAGTATCTCAATTGGCTGGCTCAAACTATGATCCTCCTTAATATTTGGGATTACATGTGTGAGTCACTTCATCAATCCCCTTAAGACTAAAAACTGCTCTTTCATTAAACATTTCATCTGAGCCTCTCTGGGTATTGTTTTACTTTTTGTTTGTTTGTTCTTCTGATTCCCAGACCAGGCTCAAAAACAACAAAACTGACTCACAGGAGTTATTCTGAGTGGTTGTTTCGCAGTTCTCTTCTTCACATTAGGTTGCAGGCTGTCTTCAAAGTCACTCTCATCATCAGACGACACAGAGTATGTGTCCCTGTGATGAAGAACAATTCTTAAAGGTTTATGTAAACGTTTAACAAAGTTATAACTTATCCTTGTTTTGACCTGTACACTATCTCCATACAAAAAGCACATTCAGATATTAGGAGTTAAGCTTACTGTTAGAAGAAAGTAGGGGCAAGTCTTAGAGGATAACTTTCACTTAGAAGCAATGGAGATGAAGAATGAAGGAACTGAGTAGGTTAAGTACCACCTTTCTGTAATATTCTTTCTGAATATGGAAATCAAATGACATTCACAAAGAGACTACTATTCTTTGTGGAGAAAAAACAGCATTGCTCAGGAAGTCATTTATCACTTATACATAAATGAAGTTTTATTTTACCTCATGTCCTAGTAATTAAAGTTTATTAACCTGATATAATCTAATAACCAACAGGACTGACAGAACCACAAATGATTCAAAGAAGGCCAATTAAAATAAATAGGATATAGTAAATCTTGTATGAGATCAGGATTTTTTTTCCTAGAAAGATAAAAAGTTACACCATTGAATCCTTCATAGAATAACTCATAAGCCATAACAGATAAAGATAGATGGACTGTTCACTAACTCCCGATAAGAACCACAGGTCTTTACAATATTTTAAGCAACAAATAGTACTATTTGTAAATTTCCCACTCCCTAGCCTCTACCAGTATGTGTATATATTGAACACAGAAATGTTGTCAACGCAAGAAGAGCAAAAATTGGAGCCAGGCATTGATGGCTCACACCTCTAATTCTAGCTATTCAGGAGGATGAGATCTGAAAATTGCAGTTCAAAGCCAACCTGGGCAGGAAAGGAAAGTCCGTGAGATTCTTATCTCTAATTAGCCACCAGAAAACCAGAAGTGGGGCTATGGCTCAAAGTGATAGAGAGCTATCCTTGAATGAAAGAGCTCAGGGACTCAGGGACAACACCTCAGGCCCTGAGTTCAAGCCCCATGATGGGGGAGGGGAGCAAGTGGGAAGACAAATTCAAAACGAGACTTTTTTTTTTTTGGTGCTGGAGTTTTAAACTTAAGACCTTGGACTTTTAGGTAACGTTTTAAGTAAATTCTCTACCACAAAAATAGTTATCAGCCCTTTTGTGCTTTAGAGGTGTGTGTTTGTGTGTGTACTGGTCCTGGGGCTTGAACTCAGGGCCTGGGAGCTATCCCTGAGCTTCTGTGCTTAAGGCTAGCACTCTACCATTTGAGCCATATGTCCACATTTGGTATTTTTCTGTGGTTTATTATCAATAAGAGTCTCATGGACTTTTCTACCCAGGCAGGCTTTGAATCGTAATCCTCAGATCTCAGTTTCCTGAGTAGCTAGGATTACAGATGTGAACCACCTGCCTAGTAGCTTTAGTATTTTTACTTATTACTTAAGATGTGTTCTTTTCTTCTTTTGGTAACACTGCCCAATTTTCTTAGAAATTAGTATTTTTGTCATGCTGAAAAGAGAAAATTCTCTCATAAATTCTCAATAGAATCCATTAGATCTGTGATGTGTACAACGTGTAAGGCAGGGAAGAAACAGCCCACAGAACTGGACAGGGTCACTATTCTGAACCAGTATAGCATTTCTGATGTTTTTCCTATTGTTCATGATTATTACAACCAGCAGAGGAAAGTGATAAGGAGAAAGCTGCCAACCCTCCAGAAAGAGGACCCACTACAAAACAACGTCTCATTAATTCTACTTACCCCTCTGATGCTGGCTCTGAGTCTCTGTCCTCTGATGGCAGATTAACAGAGTAAACAGAAGATGTAAACAAGGCTCCCTGTGTGTCATTCTGGGTCTTTTGCAAAGGAGAACCCTCACTGCTTGGGGAAGAGGAGCTGTGAGGCCTGGAGGAGGATCGCAGAGTAGGCATGGCGGTCTGTCTGGAGGAAGAGAAGGAAAAGGTTCTTACACTTGGTCAAGTCTTGACCATTCCCCTTCTCTCCAAAGGAACGGATCTGGAATTGGGAGGTGGGAACTCCACCAACAACTAAGGCTAATGATTCTACCACATCAGGATTATTAGGAGCACCAGTGCAAGCTGAGTATGCTGGCTCATGCCTGTAATCTTAGCTCTAAGCTGATATCTGAGGATCATGGTTCAAAGCCAGTCTAGGTAGGAAAGTCTGAAACTATCTCCAATTAAGGACCCAAAAAGCCGTAAGTGGAGCTGTGGCTCAAGTAGTACAATGCTAGCCTTAAGTAAGTCCAGGCCCAAGACATCAGTGCAGCCTGGTTCTGGTAGCTCACACCAGAAACCTTAGCTATTCAGGAGGTTGAGATCTGGAAAATTACAGTTCTAAGCCAGCTCAGGCAGACCAATCTGAGAGATGCTTCTCTCCAGTTACCAAGCAAAAATGCAGAAGTAGAGCTGTGGTTCAGGTGGCAGAGCACCAGCCTTGAGCAAAAAAGCCAAGCAAGACTGACTGGAAATACTTGAATCCTTCAAGCCCCAACACACACACACACACACACGAAATTAAAAAAAAAAATCTGGGAAGGTGGCTCAGTGGTAGAGCGCTTGCCTTGCATGCATGAGGCCCTGAGTTCGATTCCTCAGCACCACATAAGCAGGGGGGGAAAAAAGCTGGAAGTGGTGCTGTGGCTCAAGTGGTAGAGCGCTAATCTTGAGGTGAAGAGCTGAGGGACAGCGCCCAGGCCCAGAGTTCAGGCCCCACGACCGGACCCCCCCCCAAAAAAGGAAAATCTAAGTTCCATCACCAGAATGAAGGCAAGGACGACGGGGGGCCAAGAGAGGACCCTGAAACAGAGGTTTTTGGAAGTTTCCCAAATACCACTAGAACCTGAGGAGACACAAACTGGCTCCGGCAAGAGAATTAGGCTCGCGAAAGAAGAAAGAAAAGGGGGGGGGGAGAAGAGAGAAGGAGAGGGAGAGACAGACAGACAGACGACAGAGAAACAAAGAAAACTAAAGGAAGAGAAAAGCAGCGCGGCGGGCCTCTGTCTGTGGAAGCCATTTTCCTGGCTCCGCAGGAATGGGAGACGGAACCATTTTGGGGTAGAAGCGCCATGTGAAGAGGGCGGCAGACGGCGCGTCAGGAAGGCGCTGGAACCTTGTCTACTTCTCCGGAAGGTGAGGCCTATGAGGGGCTTTGGGCCTGGCCGCTCGGGAGGCCCGGGGGGGGGGGGGGGG